TGAAATGTACATTAAAATGTAAAAAAAAAAAAAATCTACATATTAATAAAAAGGACCAAATTGAGAAAGATGTTTTTTTTTTTCCCCTAACACTTACACTCTTCCAAAAGGGTTTTTTTGCAGCCATGGCATAGAAGAACCATTCTTGGTTCCCCAAAGAACCTTTCAGTGAATAGATCTTTTTTTAAAAAGTTTAACCAATAATGCCAATAAAAATAACTTTATTTTTAAAAGTTTGTGTCACATAAACTGCATTTTCAAGGCTATAATCTTAAAAATAAAGGTTCTTTATTGGCATTGATGGTTCTTTGAAGAACCTTTAACATCTATGGAACCTTTCCATTCCACAAAAAGTTCCTTGTAGCCTTTGGATTTTTAAAATGTTCTTCACACTAAGAAAAATTGGTTGTCTTAAGAAGAACTGTTTCCTGAAAGGTTCTTTGGGCAACCCAAAATGGTTCTTCCATAACAGTAGCTATGTTTCCAACACCCTGTTTTTATGTGCATTTTGAAGTATCGCATCAGAAACGAGTGATGGAAACGCCAAATTTCTGAAAAAAATTCCTTAATTTGCAAAAACATTTTTACGCTCACTTGAGGTGGTTTTTGACTTGTGCAAAAAATAGTTAATGTGAATAATGGGAGATGGAAACACATTTGCCGGATAAATTCTGACATAAACATTAAACCCATGTGACAAAGCGGCTGTTTTCCGCTGAGCTGATGATGTTTTATTTACTGTTGGTTACTAGGTTACCAATACCACCTTCATCCACTCAAACAACTTCATGGAAACGCACCTAATTCACATGAGTTTTTTTTCCCTTTTTTGTGAATTTCGAAAAGATTTGCTTCATATTTGGATGGAAACCCAGCTATTGCTGCGAAAAGCCCCATTTGGAACATTTGTATATTGATCTGTTTTGAACAGCCTGAGAACCGTTTTTGTACTTTGAGTGTCTATAGAGATTTATGCTTTGAAATAAACATTTAATGCAAATCATTTTGGTTATGCAATGTATTTGGACATTATCATCATCTGGATGTATGTTATTTGTACAATACTATGGACTTCCATCAAAACTGATGGAAGTCATATTATGCACTTAATTTCACACATCAGTCAGTGTCAGTGGAAAACAATAGCCTACATCCTAAGAGCTACTGCCATCAATCTCTTGAGTAAGTGTCTACCCTATCTTGATGACATATCCAAAAAGGAAACATTTTCTTCTCTGAAAGTGTTCAGTCCCAAATGGCACCCAAATTAGTGTAATGCAAGGAACTGCTCGGGCGAGTTTGATGCAGCCAACACCAAGGGGGGAATAACTCCAGAGCTCAAGGGCCAGAGGGTGGGGGAATCACCATGGCGCACAGTCTGCAACCCCAGCACTTCCCAAGCAGAAGTAGTCCCGGTGAGTTGCGCATGAGCGCGGTACAGCGCCACCACCCGAACTCATGCTGCTCCGACGCTGGCCGAGTACTTAGGCACTGTATACATCCGACTCTGCGGGGGTAGATACCAGACGCAGAATTGACGCATACGCCTCTATCCAATCAAGTTTCGGCCGATGGCGCCCCCTATGGGTTCATTCCATGTAACTGCACCCATTTACACCAATTTCGGGAGCATTTAATAAAACATTTTATGCGCGCACAGACACACTTGTGCATTTCGGGTAAGCTTAGATGGGGGGTAAATATTAGATTGGTGGTTCTCTGGCACCTCTCACCACATAATCCCCCACCCACCGCCTCTCCGTTGGAACAATGCTTTTTTATGCTAATCAAACACACATGTCACTTCCGCCCCTTTTCACACGCCATTTTGGATAGTATAGGTACTGGACCGGGTCGTATTGTTTAAGTGGATGGCGGATTACGTTAATTGCTGTCAATTACATCGCGCATCTTGTGGACTGTGCATCATCGCAAACGCAACACGCGCTCGGCGGTTCTCACTCCTTTTCCCTCCAGGACCCCCGTAGACCCGCGCAGACACTGCTAGATGAGTTGCAGCTTCTCATTCCCGGCAGACAGACAGCTCTGGGTCGGCCCGTGACAGGAGTCGAGCTCCCTCTTTCGGCGTGGTGTGTCCGCCCGGGAAGCTCGGTTCGAGAGCCGGGAAAGTGACATTACGGGCTGCAGCTCGCGGGAGCGCGGGCCAGGTAAACTCGCTCCCCGTTGTGTGTTTAGGGAACGAAACCGACCGAGTATTGACTAAGAGACCTGCGAATTTACTATTAATAACTGGAGGAAATCTGAAAGGAGTAAACCACACTCCTTTTCCCTCCAGGACCCCCGTAGACCCGCGCAGACACTGCTAGATGAGTTGCAGCTTCTCATTCCCGGCAGACAGACAGCTCTGGGTCGGCCCGTGACAGGAGTCGAGCTCCCTCTTTCGGCGTGGTGTGTCCGCCCGGGAAGCTCGGTTCGAGAGCCGGGAAAGTGACATTACGGGCTGCAGCTCGCGGGAGCGCGGGCCAGGTAAACTTGCTCCCCGTTGTGTGTTTAGGGAACGAAATCGACCGAGTATTGACTAAGAGACCTGCGAACTTACTATTAATAACTGGAGGAAATCTGAAAGGAGTAAACCAGACCCTCAGGTGGAAAACGTTGCTAACTGTATGTGTCATACAGTTGTTGAGCAGTTCTTTCAGGTCGTGAATTAAAAATAAAGTTTTTATTGCTGTGTTCTTACCATTGTAACTGTAACTGAAGGTTTGGTAGCAAGCCGGGGGTCTTTATCATTCACACAGACCTTAAATCATACCGCTCACTCAAGCCCGCTGTTATATCTCCGTTTGCTTTGACAGTTCATCACGAAAAACTCGCGCTGCAACGAATCAATCTTTAAAGGGACCGTTCACCAAAGATCAAACTAATTATGTCATCGTTTATTCGCCCGCTCGTTGTTCTAAGCCCGTATGGCTTTCTAATATAAGCTAAGGGAAATGTTAATCAGAATGACAGCCTCAGTCAATTTTATTGTTAGAAAAAAGATGCACTGAAAGTAAATGGTGATTGAGGCTGTCATTCACCTGCTTTTGTGTTTCACAAGTCGTGTATGGAGTAATATTAGGTTGAATTAATTATTTATATTCATTTGTATTTTATTTAATCTTTTTTTTTTTTATTGGTGAATTGCTCTTTTAATTAACGAACAAGTGCTGTCAGTTCAGCGCATGCAGTTTTACTAATAACGAATCAAAGTTGGCTTTTGACATGTCAACAGACCAACGTGTGACTGCTATTGGTCTCTAATTGGTCAGTTGTTTTCCCCGTAAGTGTGTTGTCATACTCATGTACTTTCCTTTTTGATATTACTCTATATAATTTGTAATGATTGTTGGTCTTTGAATGGTAAGTTTGATATTTACCTTAGTATTTACCATCCTGGATAGTATAGATGTCATTCAGCAAATTGCAGTGCTTGAATTTGACATTTAGACAGCTTATGTTTATCCTGCTGTGTGTGTTTAATATATACAATATTATTTTTGCAACTGTAGCAGTAGTGGGCCTTTGATGAAAAGATGGTGCTGAATGTATTTGACAGCACTGTGTTTTTCTCATTAACACAGGGTCCATGTTTTTGGATATGGATGACCATGAGACAGTTAATTAAGATGTGATAGATATTTTAATTTTCATTCTTACTAGTGGAGATTTGCTGGTGTGCATGCGTATGTATCCAAACCAAGTCATCTGTATGCTAGGAGATTATCAAATAACCTCCACCCAGAGCAGACACTGCAGATATGGCTTTCCACGCACTGACCTCTGCTGCTGCCTCAACAGGAGGCGCCATTCCAGGGCTGTAATGCAAAAGCCTGCACAAAAAAGGGAGCGGAAAAAGAGCAGGCAGAACAGGGAGAGGCTTATATAACATGGAGGAAGAACTGTCCTCTAGCGCCATCTAGAAAGGATGGGAGAAAGTCAGTGAGGAGATGAGGAACACCTAACCAAAGAGAGAGCTCCTATTCAGTGCCGAAGTGAAACTGCTGCTCTTTGTTCAAGCAGGGTGTACCGTATGATGCTTGTCATTGGTGACGCCAAGAGCTGATGGAGGTTTTCCATGAAGGCAGGTCAGATAGGTACATGACCTTTGACCTTAGTTGAACTTTGACCTCATTTTTGCAGGCTGCTGTGGGATCGGCCTTATTTAGCATTGCAGTTGTGCATGTTTGGCTCTTCATGTACGATATTCATTAGAGCATAGATCTGCAATGCTGTTACTGTAGAATGTTGGCCACAGATTAATTGGACGCATTTGTGTTTTTCGGTTGTGCGATCGTATTTTGAAATGGTGCCATCCCATAGACATCAAGTACTGAAGCAGTTGTACTTGGTGCTTGGAAAGATTTTGATTTGCTTTGTTATTACATGTCAAATAGATTTATGACAAGATGCGCGTTAAATATCGCATGCGATTTATCGTGCAGCCCTATTTAATGTATTAAAGAAATGAATACTTTTATTCAGCAAAGATGCAGGAAATTGTTAGAGTAAAGATGCACCAGAAGTGACAGTAGATTTCGGTTTCAAATAAATGATGTTCTTTTGAACTTTGTTCATCAACAAATCCTGAAAAATAAAGCATATAATGAAGCATTTCCACAAAAACATTAAGCAGCATGGCTGTTTTCTACATAATAATAATAAATGTTATTAATAAAATATTAATAATAAAAATGTTTTAAGAAATCTTTAAAATGTTAGTAATAAAATGTTAAAAATAAAAGCGCCCACCAAATTAGCATATTAAAATAATTTCTGAAGGATCATGTGACAGAAGACTGGATTAATGGTGCTGAAAATTCAGCTTTGCCATCACAGGAATAAATTAATCTTAAAATATATTAAAATAGAAAACAGTTATTTTAAAATGTAATAATATTTCACAATATTACTGTTTTTACTGTATTTTTGATCATATAAATGCAGCCTTGGTGAGCATAAGAGACTTCTTTCAAAAACATTTTAAAAATCTTTCCAACCCCAAACTGTATTTAAATTTAATTAAAGTTAATTGTGATCTCATAATTTAAAAAAAAACATTAATGCATTCAGTTCCTTTTTAACAAAACATGTAAAGTTGTGTCAGTTTGTTTGGATCGATTATAGTCTACCAGATATACTCCAGACTGAGGTTGATTTCTTTAATCGTCACCTCATACGTTGACTCTCCTTATTTTAATTAACATTCTCATATGTAGAAGTGCCTTTGATGGTAATTGCATGCCACCATACAAACGTCGCAAATTAGTTTCCTGTTGTGAAACGTCTCTTTGGAATTTAATTCATAAATACATTTGTTGGTTGTGGTTTTTGATGAAGAAATAAAAGTAAAATAAGAAAGCGATATTGTATGGTGTCAAAAGTTGGCTTTTTGCTGTCTGTGTTTAGGATGCAGCTCATTTTCCCAGGTTGTGATGAGAAAGATCCAGTCCGACTCATTTGTTTTGCTTTAGACCTTTTCCTCTCCTAGTGACCGTTTCTCTGACATGAGCTTATGATTATGATTTGGATTAAGGTGCATTTAAATGGTCAGATTGATAGTGTCACAGTGAGATATACTGATATATTATTCATGAATTGTTCCCTGAAATCATTCAAACAATACAAAATGTGTATTATTCATTCACAATGGTTATAATGTTGAATTTATTTTCAGGTGGCAGAATGTTTCAACTCCCAGTGAACAACCTCAGCAGTCTAAGGAAAGCGAGGAAGAATGTGAAAAAAGTGCTGGGTGACATTGGCTTAGAGTTTTGCAGGGAGCACATTGATGTAAGTAAATTTCTCTCTATTGTCTCCATAGGCAAGGAAGTACATTCTCAACATCATGGACAATCTGACTCACCTTAAAGGGATAGTTCACCCAAAAATTTAAAATTTCTCCATGATTTGCTCACCCTTAAGCCATCCTAGCTGTATACATACCTGCAAACTAGTCGCTTTTCAGCGAAATTCGCCGTTTTGTATCAAAATATGTCATTTTTGTGAATCGTCTAG